AAGGTTTGTTGTTTATTATACTTGAAGACAGGGTTGTAAAGCTGTAAAGCTGTAAAGGTTTGTTGTTTAGTAATTGTGCTTATGTATAAACTTCCTTATAAGAAAATTTCCCCGTTGTGAGCCCCATTGTTGATTCTTTAGTGTCACCCGCGACTTTTCATGCATAGCCATAACTTTCTTCGTATGTAACCTGCGTAAAGTCAAAAACAGTGGCGTAATCTGGGAGAATTCCGACAGTCTGAGCGACATGAAAACCCACCCCTCCTGCGGAATATCATTTCCAGTTTGTTTGGAGACTTTAATATGCTTCTAGAACATACATTTCCGTCAAAATTATCAGGAAAGTCTTTCCGACATCGACAGGAATCACATCAGTACCACGCCGTGCAAACGACTCCTACGCAGAGGTGTTGCAAAGATGTATTTTCTAGATAGGGCTTCCTTCGTGCACCTACCGTTTAAAAAGGTCCGCACGTGTACTCCTATTGTTCATTAATGCATGACATCGTTCTGGGCGCCCGTCGTATTTTCAAGTCATCGCCCGTTGTCCAGCTCTTTCCTTTTTCTTCATCCTTCCTTCTTCCCCTTCCTCCCTTCTCCGTTCCCCCTGGTTTACCTTTTCTCTTTCAGCTACTAGGATAGTAGATCCCCTCGAGAAAAAACCCCTGACCCCTCGCAGCGAGAGCACGTCTGGTTGACAAGTGCCCCGTAACCGTGGTGAGCCGGGGAGGGGAAGAGGGGGGGGGAGGAGCCGCCGGGCGCAATTCTAATGAAAGGGAAACTTCGGAGACCATACGGCAAACGGTTGAAATGGTTTGGTACAAGGGGTTACGAAGCACTACATGGAGAAGAAAGCGGCCCGATTAAACGGGTTGACTTGTGTTGTTCCTAGAGCATTACCGGAGACGAATCACTACTACCTTAGACTCCTACAGAAGTATTCGAAAAATGTCCAGAACCGGAAAAAGCACGGGTATGAGTTTGTTAACAGTTCACTCATGGCTTCAACGGTGTGCCTCGTTGCTTGTGTGTATCAATGCGATTGTGGACAAGGGCTACCAGATGAGGCGCTCAAAAGCGGATGGCCCAGGTGAAGCCACCTTGCTCAGGTCTAGGTCAAAGGAACAGAGACTTAGAGCCTCTCACACAGCGCATTTTACTGCCTCTCAGAATGTCATTATTTCCCCACTTTTGAATCCAGAGGCGCTTAGGCGCGTTTATACTTTGCGTCGGCGTACGCCGGCGTGTGAGGGCGACGACGAAAACGCTTGCAGTGGTGTACTGGAGTTCACTACATCGACATCCATACATTCCCTGTCGCCGGCGTACGTCGGCATTGCTAGATCGATGTCTACATTTCCCTAGTCGCTAGCGTACGCTAGGAACGCCGCCTACGCTCACGCAAAGTATGAACGCAGCCTTAAAGGCAGTTGGCACGATAATTCGGTATTCGGCCTAAAATGCTAGCAGGGCGCTATATAGTGGAAAATGGCGAAAGAACGGAGTGAAACGGTCAAAATCCTGCGAAGAAAAAGCCTCCGTTCTCAGTGACTTGAAAATCGATTTCGGACGAGTTTCCCATAGGCATCTTGCCAATCACCGCTACCGAAGATACGGCTGCATGTGTGTACTCATATATCCATGCAGCACCGCCGCTTCATACCAATCCCTTCACTTCATAATTTGCTCAGCAAATGAATCAATACGAGCGTCAGGAACGGTCGTCCATTTGTGGGCGGGCGGGCGTGGTGGGCGTTCGGGTCGGTATGTTGTAGCTTGATAGGGCCCTTATAAGGGTACCTTTCCTTGGAAAAGGCGCTACGCAGCGCCTGCTCAGGGCGCGGAATTCCGTCCTGCCAGGCATATTAATCCTACTCGTCTTTGGGGATTTATCGTGCCA